ATCTAAAATTGATTAACTGAAAATGGTATTATTATTTCAGAGCTTCAGTAATTATTATAGATTAACTTATAGTAAATATTTAATCTTAATGAGACAAAATTTAAAACGTAGATTGGCGTTAGCATCAGTTAAGCAACTTTTTTTTTTAAATGATATCCTCACCTGTCTGACTAAACTTGCATAGTTATGTTATGTTTATTTCGGGTTATTAAGAAGACTGCATGTCACCTCTCATAAGTAATTTATTCTCTACACCAGGAACTGAGGTAAACTTTCAGTGTACATACACCGAATGATATAAACCTGTCTCTTCTGGTCTCGAAGACACATTGTATAATCTTTTGCGTTGTTAGTACTCGCAGCGTACATTGCACGTTACAGTAATTATTATTCCAAATTATTCACTCTGTATGTCTGGGAAAAGAACGTTTGCAATGCAACTAAGTAAATTATTATATTAATAATAATCTTAGCTATGAACTCATAGGTTTAAAGTAGTACAAGAGCTCAATTATTATACTCAGAACTCAACAAGGGTTCACTTACTACGAATTACTAAAAATCGATAATAAAAATCGATACACTGTCAATGCTTTTGCCGTGCATCATGAAAAGAATAATAACCCAATTATGAGCTTGTATCATTAATCTGAATAATGCTAGAACCATAACTGGGCTCAGTTTTAATATGAAGATTCATCCGTGCATTCTCGTACATTTATGGTAAAGGTGCCAAACATGTTTAATTCAGGGGTCGTATTATATACATAACAAACATAATATCATATACAAATATTTACAAGGACAATACAATATTTTCCACTATGCAGATATGGTAAAGATTTGAGTTTTATATTACGTTTCTGTATTTTCTGTACAAGCATTTTTCATGTTGCTGTCCCAACACTTGAAGCTGTTAATGTTGTTTTTTTGTCGAATTATGAGGAGATGAAATAAGGATGTTGGAAAAACATCATAAAACATAAAAGGAGTGAAAGAATATTTTGCAGGAAGTACAGTTTCCTAGGTGTTATACTTTGTGTATATTACACAGAAAGTTGTTAATATTTTAGCTCTGGTTGGTCTCCACTGTAGCCATAAAAGAGCTATTTGGGGGATTGTTCAGTTTAATTTTCACGTGTTGCTTTTGAGTTTGTATATAATCAAACGTTAACTTGCGATCGAGTTGGCACTGAAAATACCGACTTGTGTGATGCGAGGAAAATTGTGACGTAAGGAGCAGTTCTCCTTTGGAATATGCCGCTGGGAGGTGTAATAGTCAGCTTGTTTACCCCTAGTTCATAGTTCACCCCTTCTTCATAGTTGCTGACAAATTAATTAGCTCACCTCAGATATTTGGTATACGCTAGGAAATTGCAGTTTAGTAATAAGTCTTTTAAATTTTATAAATTATAAACACAAATGATTTCCAGAGAAATCAATCATGTTTAACAAACCTGAATTTATGCTACGACTTTACAATATTCGTGATGAAAGCAATATAGTGTATGCTTTATTTCTAAATTGTTAATAACAGTAGGGCAATAACAGTAGGTCAATAACAGAGCAATAACAGTAGGGCAATAACAGTAGGTCAATAACAGAGCAATAACAGTAGGGCAATAACAGTAGGTAGTCCTTAATAAAAGAGAATCAGAACTGACAGACGTATCAGGTGGTGTGACGCTTGGGACGGATTACAATTTAAAAAAATTTGATGATAAAAAACTTGGTAGCAAAGTCACAACACACCTTTAGCAATCGATAGTAGACTTTAAATACCAAAAAAAGGCACAATACCGTGACTGGAACGATACACAAATAACCCGCACATAGAAGAGAGGAGCTTACGACGGCGTTTCGGTCCGACTTGGACCATTTACAAAGTCACACTAACCAGAAGTGGTTAGTTCCTTCCTATATATAGCCATCCTGCTCCACTTCTGGTTAGTGTGATTTTGTAAATGGTCCAAGTCGGACCGAAACGTCGTCGTAAGCTCCTCTCTTCTATGAGCGGGTTATTTGTGGATAGTAGATTTTAGACCAATTAATAAATATGATTTCTGAAAGTAAATGAATTTCAATATTGATAAGTGAAAAGTATTCCATATTGAAAATACGAGAAGACAAGTAATTTTATGAACATAGATTTCTTGACAGTAAACAACGTAACGAAAAATAGAGAAAAACCGTAAGACGCCAAGTAGATAGTATGCCGAGGTAGTTAAAAAAAAATCTTCATTTGTATACCCGTCCCCACAGGCGCAATATAATCCCTACGGACTTAGCGCTCCCCATAATAATAATTCAATTATATAGTGATCAATGGGATTCTGCTCAGAGAAAGTCGTGCACTTCCTACATGCGTCATTGGAAAGTCTAAGCCGCGTTTACCTTGTACACTTTGTTGGTGTTTCTAAATCTAGAATAATGCACACAATAATAATCGCCACATTAAGGAAGGATGCTGAAGTATAGGCACCGCTGAGCGACGAAAACG